TGGTAGTAGTGGGAAGTTTTATTTGTGGTAGTTATAAGAAATGTCCAGGTTTGAGGATGCTGTAATCGATTACAGGGGACTTTTGATCGATTACTATTACAAAAATGTCATTTTGTACCAAAAGGATGTCTGCGTTACCCAGATATGGTTGAATAACTAACTCCCCAGTAGTATTTGGTAGTGTTTTTTCAGTGTTCTGATTAGGGGTGTACCCTGTTGGTCATTGTGCAACGTCTTGTGAACAAGATATTTAAAACAATCTGAGGTGTATGCGTTTGGAAGAGGAAACCAAGGTGTTCCCAGGTTGAGAGTTCATGGCTGGGAAACCTGGGAGAAATTAAGGGTACTGTAATCGATTACAGAGGACTTGTAATCGATTACTATTATAAAAATCTCATTCTGTACCAAAAGTATGTATGTGCTACCCAGAGATGGTTGAATAACTCCCCAATAGTGTTTGGTAGTGTTTTTTCAGTGTTCTGATTAGGGGTGTACCCTGTTGGTCATTGTGCAACTTCTTGTGAACAACATATTTGAAACAGTCTAAGGTGTATGCGTTTGGAAGAGGAAACCAAGGTGTTCCCAGGTTCAGAGTTCATGGCTGGGAAACCTGGGACAAATTAAAGGTATTGTAATCGATTACAGGGAACTTGTAATCGATTACTATTACAAAAATGTCATTGTGTACCAAAAGTATGTCTGCGCTACCTAGAGATGGTTGAATAACTCCCCAATAGTGTTTGGTAGTGTTTTTTCAGTGTTCTGATTAAGGGTGTACCCTGTTGGTCATTGTGCAACGTCTTCTGAACAAGATATTTGAAACAATCCGAGGTGTATGCGTTTGGAAGAGGAAACCAAGGTGTTCCCAGGTTCAGAGTTCATGGCAGGGAAGCTTGGGACAGTTCTGAGGATGCTGTAATCGATTACAGGGGACTTGTAATCGATTACTATTACAAAAATGTCATTATATACCAAAAGTATGTTTGCGCTACCTAGATATGGTTGAATAACTCCCCAATAGTCTTTGGTATTGTTTTTTCAGTGTTCTGATTAGGGGTGTACCCTGTTGGTCATTGTGCATTATTGTGTTTTATAAGTACAACGATACGTACAAATTCCCAACAAAATCACCTACCAGGTCATGCTCTCTCAATCAAATGCAAGTACTTAGTAGCAGCCCATAAGTGGGGAACAACTCAGTTAGAACAGTGAAGCAGCCATGCACTTTTGGTACATGTCACTCGTAAGTGATTACAGCGTGCCTGTAATCGATTACAGCAGCCCAATACTGCCTTCCCACCCCTGCCTCAGGAAGCACCTGGAAGCAATCATCAAAACACAGTTTTGGGGACACCCTAATCCTGTTCAATTGCTTTATAAGTACAACCACACGTACAAATTCCCAAGAAAACCACCTACTAGGTCGTGCTCTCTCAACCAAACAGAACAAATTAGTCCCACCTACTAAATGGGGAGTTGTTCAATCAAAATAGGGGAGCAGCCATGCAATTTCGGTAATCAATAAACTCACTCCAACAAAAAACACACACAACGAAAATGAATATTAGGAATACTTTAGCTGTATTGATTATTAGTCGCACAAGTTCACATGTACATAAAACCAACTAATAGACTTCCAATAGTATAATTCTCTAGAATGTATATTCATTTACTATAAATGAAGAATCTAAATCAAGGACACATTTCTAGTGCTATAGTAATCCAAAATGTTGCAGCATTTCAAATCTTCGGACGTTGTCCTCGTCCAGGATCCAGTCACATATATACTTTTTCCTAAACGCAACATAGTCTTCCTAAAATTAACATATTGGAATTCAAAACCAATGTCAAGGGACGATAATGTAATATTGATAAATTCATACTTTAACATACATTTGTATAATCAGGCATGCTTTTACAATAATATTTCTCCTCTACATCCCAAATTTCAATAGCTTTCATCATGATTACACCACAATCGTATCTGTTGAAATTAAAAAATACATACATTACTTTTGTTAATGGAAACACAAATTTTTTTAACACATTGGTAATATAAAATTACGTGTTTGGTTGGACTGGGATGTTGGCTTTCTCAACTAACAAAGGACACTTCGAATCTTCAAGTTTATCCGTCAACAAACCCCAAAACCTTTGAATATTTTGAGCCTGTATGGTTACAAAAACCAAAAGAGTCACTTTAAACTAACTACGATTTAACCAAGTCATTTTCCAAAAATATTTGTAATGATATTAAAACTTACAATGCTTCTACCAATCCGACAACGTCCTTTGATACCATTGGCAAGTGAGTCTATGACATAAAATTGAAAAGTGCAGACCTTCAGTGCATAACACCACCAATGACCATCACTTACAATTGGGATGAACACCTACACATTTTTTGGAATATGTCAAAATAGTAACCCACATTAAAAAACAAGTATCTGCTTACAAAGTACATCTTACTCACCCAATCAGCAAACGATAAGGCCTCAAGTCGAACCAGATCGTATCGGAAATATGGCTGGTAGTCAAGAAGTTGCCACACATGTTGATTCGCTGGTTGTTTCCTATAGTCGTGCAGCACATGGGTCTTCAATATAAAATTAAACCATCAATAAACAACCATGTCAATGTTAAATTGTACCCTACAAAAAACCAACAACATCTAATTAAAGCATTTACCCCAAACATAGGACTGAATACAATCCTCTTTATGACTCCACTCAACCTTCTCTCAAAGTACATGAACATTGTTGCTGCAAAAATTAAAGCCTACATAACAATGAACAACTTCAACATCAAATTTATGAACTTTCTAAATTGAATGACAACAGTAATTAAAGACAAATGTATAATTACCATGTTGTCTACACATTGCCTTGGCCCTAAAGAGCTACATTCACTTGTGGTCAAGAGTTGAGACATAATTTCAGACACATAGCTGAAAAAACAACATTATTAAATCAGGTACCAATATCATTCACCATAAAATTAGGTACCAATAACAAAAAATTAAAATAAATTATTGTGTTCTAGCCTCCGTGGAATGTCTCTTCGCGTAACTGCGTTTTACAACATATCCAAATCGACCACTGTTCTTGGATCACCAACAAAAGAACACAAAGACACTACATTCAAGGGTTCTGCATCCACATCTCCTTCATCATCATCAACACCATCGCCAACGTCAATGACAAGTATTGGATGGTCACCGGCTACTCCTTCTTCTTCTACAACCGTTGTAGAAGCTGGTTCTTCATCTGCAGGTAGTTCATTTTGTTCATCTACATGTGCACCTCCTTCATTACCCTCACCTTCAACATCACCAACAGCTTCATGACCTGAACGAAATGGTTGTACAACAACATCTCCTTCGCCATCATGAACACCATCGCCAATGTCAGTGAAAAGTGGTGGATGGTTAGGGGCTACTCATTCTTCTTCTACAACAGTTCTAGAAGTAGGTTCTTCATCTGCAGGTTGTTCATGTTGTTCATCTGCAGGTTCTTCATGTTGTTCATGACCTGAAGGAGATTGTTCCACCTTTTGAAACTTGCGACGATCACCAAGTACCTTCTTAACAGCTGCAATTTCATCTCTGAGTTTTCTTATCTTGAAGTTGTTTGTTCTCAGTTTTTCCTTAGAGGCTGATAGCCAATTTTCATCATATTCATTTTCAAGTGGTACTTCTTCACGCTTGGAACCTTGAGGCCTCACTCCCTCATCCAAGTTGAAAGCACGACGTATGACGGGATTTAGACAATCGTTATCACTGAGGTACTAATCAAAATGTACCTGTAACAATGACAGAAAATATACAACAATCACATAACAACAGCAAAAATCATAAAAAATAACAACATAAGTTCATAACAAAGTTACTTACCTCGCTAGTCCTAAACAAAACATCTCTTTTTTTGGTTGTATAATTTAACGAACAAAATCGCCTAACGCGCGGAAATTCCTTGCGAGAAAAATAAACATGCAAACCAAGTCGTTCATACGACCAAAGCTAAAGATAAACCAATGAAACTAATCAAAACAGTTATTACTATGGATTGACTTAATACAACAAATAACCACAATAAATCATACCTGCAAAACAACAACATTCCCACTTATGCTCAAAGAATCAGCAATCGATCCAGAAAGTAGTTTCTTATTACATCTATTTAGACCATGTACAAGATATGTATGTACAACACTACTCCAATCATAAGTAGACAAACTATCTAAGTCATCTAAGACTAAACAAGGCATGTTCGAAACATATCTTGCCTTCCTAGGAAAAAAAACACCACAAAACAAACTAATACATACAAGCGACACACCACATCTACCTCACTATCATCATTAGCTACAAGCACATTGAACATATCTATGAGTGTCGCAACCGGAATCGCGACGGGACGACGATCCAAAAAGAAATCGGTTTTGGAAAAGAGATTTGGAGTCGCCACCATAGTTTATTATGGAAAACTAATTTTATTTTCTTCATCTACTCATGCTACATTTTACTATCCTAAAATTATATATTTTATAATCATATTTACAATTTAAATAAAGTAATGTATAAAATCCGTTTAAAGTTGAGGCACCATGTGTGATCGCACGCATCGGCCTTGTGCTGAAACCTTTTTCCTTTCTTAAATAAAATACAAACTATGTTTTAAAAGGTTTAGGCACATGTGTGAGATCGCAACGCATCGTCCTTGTGCTGAAAACCTTTCTCTTTCTTAACTTGAAATTACCAAAAATTGTTTTAAAGGTTTGGCACATGTGGGATCCACGCAGCGTCCTTGTGCTAAAAACCTTTTCTTTTCCTTACGTAAAATTAACCAAAAAATATGTTTTACAGTTTATGCACATGTGTGATCGCACAACGCATCGTCCTTGTGCTAACACCTTTCTCTTTCTTAAACAAAATCAAAACGGTATAAAATCTTCAAAAACCGAAAACCTCAACAATTTTAAACAACAAATAGTCTTGCTACCCAGAACTACGTAGCCTTGATTCGTCCATCAGAGTTGAGATACTTAGGAGCATGGCTAGTCCCCGTGTCAGGTTCCACTTTCCCAAAAATCCCAATTTATCCGTATCATTTTCTCAACAAATCTCTCAAACTTTTTCCTAAAAGAACTACGTAACCCTGATTTCTCATTTTAAATGAGAATACGTAGGAGCAAGGTCAATCCTTGTCGGGCCCAAAAAACTAAAAAATATGTTTTGTTTATTTTAGAATTTTATTTTAGGGATAGTTAACATATTGAAAATCACATCATATTCCGTGCATTAGTTAAAGGTCCTACTGCCTTAGGGCAGGCGTTTGGGGTGTTAACACCTTCCCCACGCTAACCGACTTCCCGAACCCAACTTTGGTTTTCGTGACCCCCCCACCCCCCCCACCACCCAGCCCCCCCCCCCCCCCCCCCCCCTCCCCCCCGTTGCTTTAATTCGTTTTTTGTTTTTCCGTAGT